CCTCTTTCTGTATCATGAAACTCTTTTAGCCATGCAGTTTGTACCCTTTTTGTTTGTTTTACATTATCTTTATTACACACCGAAGCTACTTACAAGTACTTTCAAGAGTCCATATTGTACATTTCAAATAATCACCTTAGAAACAAGACACTTACCGGTACTGTTATACCGATATCTATTTATTTCATTAGATTGAAAGCCTAAATGAAAGAGAGAAAAAAAAGACATGAGAGACAACAACTGTGCCAGTCTGTCATCCTCGTCAGTATCTCATCAAACTGACCTCGGAAAGGGATTGGAGCCAGTCGTTGGGTCATATGCTTTAGGCTGACGCCATGTTGAACAGATGCACTTTGACTTAGATTCAGATTGGCGTATGGGGCATTCTGGGGGAAAATGGAGGAGTGCATGATGACATTTCGAGGAGCTGGGGCGGGGTTCTGTGGGAGAAGCACTGTGGTGACGGCGGGGTTTGTTGGGCAGATTTGGGTCATAGGCTTGTAGATTAGCAGCAGAGTTGACAGACTTTCTGGAACCAGAAGGTGTGTGGGGAGCACGTAAGATAAACTACCGGTTGTTCATGACCTTAATAGCAATTTCTTTACATTTAAATTTTATATGTAACTAATCTGTCACCACCATCGATGGGCATCCATGCACCCAGGAAAGGATGTCAAAGAAAGGGCAAGGAGAGTAGGCAGTGAGGAAAAAAAAAGTTGAGCTTACTTTTACAGCTTTAAAACAAAACTAACTAAAATTCTGACTCAATAATTTTTTGGCTGATAAAGCTTTAAGTCTTAGTGATAGAATTTTCCATCTTGCATGTGCCATAGGTAATAGCGTTACCTAATACCTCAAGTTTTTGTACACACTCCTAGTTAATTTTGCTGAAAGAGTCCTCTTCCACTTTTTGTTCACTTACAAGTCCGGAACATATGGCTGCTTGAGGATATTTTAGATTGTGAAGAAGGGTAGTTCCTCTAAATACAGGAAAACAGGCTTTAAAGTTTTTTTTTGTGTTTTTTTTAACAGTGTCCTGTCTGGCAATGTGGCAATAAGAATAATTGTCTTGATGCCAAAAAGAGCCCAACATGTTTTACTTTCACAAGTGTAGCAATAAGGCAATTGCCATACTGCTCCACTTGTTTCATGCATATAAATTG